CTTGTGTTTTATTGCGCTATGAGGCGACGAAATTGCGAACTGAAGAGGGATAGAAGACAGCTGGACTAGAACAAGCAAAAATTGAGCTTGCGACCGTCGCAGAGGGAACCACAACCAGCTGGTGGTGTGAAGCTCCGAAGACAAATATTGGAGAGAATGCAGGCGTTTGATAGCGTAATTAATCCCATGATCCGGTAAACATACGTAAATTATAAGCACGCATCTGCCTCGTTTCCGGTATGGAATAACGACTGCCCAAGCGTGAATTTGGTTGGCGCAAAACGTCAAATATTCGATAAAAGATCAAAAATGAAGAAGGCAAATAAGGTTTCTGAAAAGGCGTGGTACTAGCCAGGCCTGCATGCTCGTCCTTCCCTCAGGTGACCTTTATCTAACCCGTCATCAACCACGACTGCCCGATCTTTTTTCGTACACTTTCCTTGCTAATGTTTGTGAAAGATCATTATCTGCCTCGCACCCATCACCTAATGGCCTGCACTTTTTTGTTTGTAGATTCTCGAAGCCGGTGGCGATGTTTACGTTAGCCACAGCATTTTTGCACGAAAGATATATGCAGCTCCTTGGGGCAAGGTTAGAAGTGCAGTCACCTGCTCAGGTAGCGCTGGACATATTAACAAGTGTCACTACTGCTACACCCACTGTGACTAGCCTAAACTAACATTTAGGTAGACGACGAACAGTTGGTATGTAGTCTGCTTATTTTACACAAAATAATGAGTTTGCGGTTTCTGAGATGGCGACAGTTGTTCTGACAGTTATGAATGGTTTTAGGGTCCTCAGCTTCATCCAGAACCAAGTGGCTCACGGATGATGAAGATTGGAAGCATACTTATTGGGGATACCAGTCATTTTGGATCGTATCTATATGTTAATTAGACTATTGTTCGAAGAATCCGTAAAATCAGTTATACACGTGCGCTTGGTGAGCAAAGGTCTTGCGTAAGGAACAGATTCCCAGCAATTTTCAAAGCTCATTAGGGGACGAAGTGGGGGTGCGAATGAGAACTCGGTGAAGGTCACCGATGAGCGCTTCGGATAATTTTACTAACAACAGCAATTTTCTCAGCTTAATCGGAGTGAGAATTCTTTGAGTCGCAAAAGACCTTCAATACAACGTTGGCAACGTTCCAAACGTGCTAAAGCTTTTGAAACTGGCCATAAGGCCAGCAGTCAAAATGCATCGGTCAACATGCCGTCTCTGACTCTATGAGAGTGCCCCATTACGGCGATGAAATCGGGATTTCCGGTCGATTGCAATTCCGAAAAAAAAACGATTGTTGTGGAATAATTACGGCATGTGTGCAAGAGCAGTATGACGTGGCGTGGATGCAAGGGCACATGGAATTGGTCACCACTGCCGTGTGCTTTCAAAGGGATTAAAAAAGCTTCCGGCGATTTAGTCTGGGATTTTCGGCTATGGGACGCCAATATTTAACAGTGGTAACGTATTTTTTTTCGAAAGCCAGTGGTTGGTTTTTTAGGAAATGCCCTTTTCGTACCTTGATTGCATCAATGTGTGAAAATTGCGAAAATTTGAGGTAAAAGCATAGTAACGGAACTTGCCCAGAATTAATAAAGATAGAATGCGAACGAGAGTGCCAGACAGACAGAGAAAATTTTTGAAACTTCCAGAAAACATGAAAAACTTCTATCATTTATTCCATTCAATTTATAGAAAAAACATGGATAACGCCAAAGAAAATTTTTACACGAATTTCCGTTGTGTTGCTGGCATGAAAGTAATCTTACTTTATCGGTGCCCATATCTGGGTTTTATGTATATAGTTTGGACAAAAAATCATAGTCTAATCGCTCAGGTGCGTTTTATAAGCATCCCCTCAAATTTCGCCTTTAGCCGCCTACATAACCCATGTGCGATGGCGAAGGTCAAGTAATCTAAAACCTGCTAGTTTGAGAGAATTTTGAGCTTTTTGCCCTTTCAAGCGCTGCTCCTACGGTACGGTATTCATCATTGTTAATTCGTGTCTAGTGCGTACGTTGGCACTCACGCATATGATTACAGAAGTTTTTGGGATGGTAGCGTGTCCGAATTAATGTGAACCTGCTGGGAAAGAAGTGAGAGGAGGAGATAAACAAGCTGCTGCGAATTTGTGCGCTGGTGAATATCTCTTGCTAATTCTTTGTAAGCAGTGCTGTCATGATTCGGTTCCTCTTGCGGAAGTACCGGAAGTCACAACGCGCGTCAAAAAAGCACATCTAAATGACCACCAGGTACGAAGGCACATTACAGCACCTAAGTAAAGTCAATCATACTACTAAGCACATCTATCGTCGAAGCCGGTTGATCAAAGCAGACACGCCGCCACGCGTCCGCACCCACAATTGCCGCCGAGCGTGACCCTACGCAAACTTGGGGGGGGGGGGGGGTGTAGGCCCTTCTGAACCCGCTCTAATTGCGATGGCTACGATAGGTCAGTGCGTGTCAGAGGTCACGTTCTAATTGGCTGCTTCGATAGGGCGAGCGGTTGACCTAAGCAGGTGCGCTGCGGAAACGGACGAGTTCCTCAGTAATGATCCTCCTCCCTCGGACCCTTGATAGAGATGTCGTAGACGCATGATGTCAACCGAATGTTGCTATTCTGCTGTCTTACCTAACAAACTCGCTGCTATCCACTAAATTGACGTGCTTCCAATCACGGAAAAACTGTGGGATGTGTTTGCTTCGACTACTAAGTACTCTATTTTTGTGTGAGTAAGGTGAGTACTGGTAACTCTTTTTACTCCATGTGTGCAATCCTTGCTGCATCGTGTATCGTCACATTTATTTGTGTATGTGAACTAAACGAAGCTTGCAAGGAAAACACACTTTTTGCTTGATTATTGCTAATAACCCGAGACCCGATATTCTTGTTAGTGCAGTTTGTCGCCAACAGTTTGATTCTGCGCCGATTACAGCTGCTGCATAATTATATTCATGTAAACCATACAAATACTTACCAGTATTGAACTATTGAACCTAGTTCTAAGCATAAAGGAAAATATCGGATATCACTGTTCCGTGAGCTTTAGAGAGCTGAGGAGTTCATCCAACTCAGAAATTTGATCTACAAGCAGTGGCTTATGAACACTCAAAATTCCATGCACAACTCCAAAAGTTAGCGAAAAATGAGCAACGTTTGCGCAAAACACTTGATGCTACCAAACAGATGCCTTGATATTGAGCGAAAGTCATTCAAAGCAAATTATAGACTATTAGGTATCGTGCAGAGTTCATAAAAAAACCATCTGTTGTACTTCGAATTGTGGGTCGGGTCGCGTGTGCTTTCCTTTCGAAGCATCATGCAGTTCACAACGTTCAAACGTGTGACAATGCATGAAGCAGAAAGGATGCACACAAACAAAATGTGGCAACAAAAGTAATCAAAATGAGACGAGAAAACCATTCATATAGTTACTCAAGAAATTCAAACCACGTTTCTAAAACAAACCTGATTGATACGATCACGATAATAGGCCGTAGAATAGCAAAATGCAGCAAATAGCAGCTTTACAGAAATGGGATTGGATAAGCTGAGGATAATCCCTGCGTTCAGATCTGAATTGTAGTCTTCAGCGCAACTCGAGGTGCGCTGAAGACTTTCGAAAATAAAGCGTTCCGCAGAAGACTCGTCCGCAATGGCCGCAGCGCGGGCGCCCGCGTCCTACTTGCGGGGTTACTGTAGTGGACGGTGGGTTCAGAAGGGCCGTCTCCCACTTGGGGGCCCATAAAACAATCAACGCTTTGTCAGCGGAGTGGCCTTTTTTATAATAACTTCTTCGCCCGACGTGGGAGAAAAAATACTCCTAGTGTATTAACTAATCTTTGCAGTTTCACATATCAGGTCTGTAATTATGCCTGATGTTGCTAATGGAGAGATAATCTTCTTAAACACTATGCCCCTTGTGGCTGACGACAATCACAGCCTTTCATGATTATGAACAGCAATGCTATTTGTACAAAGACATTTTGTTCATGCGCATAGAGCTCGCATCTGAACTCTGCCGTTCCTCGCTAGAAGTTCCAGTTTTAAAATTGTGGCTGCTAGGTCCCAGTAGATGGGGTTTCATGAGGTTCAAAAAGTTCTTTCGAATGAATCCCTTTTATTCGTTCCTCAACTTCTCCTCATCAATATGCAATTATGTACCTTCCCATCCCACTCACGTACGTAAGAAGTACGCACTCAACCCTGTCTCTCGGAAGTTCTTGCTAACTAACTGCACACCACTGCTTCTCAATTGATGTATGCTAATGTGCGTGAATCGTGGCGAGCGGAGCTCGAGCTGGAGCCAACTCAGCGGGAAACCTCACTCAACACAATGGGCCACCTAAACTCTTACCTACCAAACTTAGCCGGTAGCCATAATCAAACATTTCCGGGTATTTGCTCCAACACAATGGATGCCTCTGCTCGATTAGCTAAAATTGCGTAACAATCTCAAGAAGGCCGTGGTCAACTTTTCCCATATAACTACCGTAACCCGTCAAAATATCAACCAACCTTTTGTCAGCCATTAAAGTTGGTGATTACAGTGATGAGGTCGTCAACATCGTAAAATTTTTGTCGGCACTTTGCGAAACAATAAAATTTCAAATTTGTGCTAGTCAAGGCATAAGGATAATTATTGATCGGTACTGATCGATGAGACTATTCTACTATCAATGAATTCGATAAGACTGATAAATTTATTCTTATATATCACATTTCAATGCGTATTTATATACAAACTTAACAAATACCCGTAACAACTCTATCCTAGGCGAGAAAATCATATAAACATTTAAGATGGGCAGACTCTGGCTAGGGGCACCCGGATGACTGAGGTGAGGCGATTGATAAGATGCTGTGTTATGATGAACAATCATAATATCAGGAAAGATTAAAAAGGGATACATAGACCTCAAGGAGTTCAAGCATCTGCTAATTCTTGAAAATTTGATTATCACAATTGAAGTTAGGCTATTTGAGTGTTGGGATTGCTCACAACAGCACAATAAGTGAAAACAATAGGATAAAGGTGGAAAAGAGTGGCAGTGACATAGCTGAGGCTTCCAAGGGTAATTCAATTATTTCTCCACCAGGGAACCGTTCGATAACGTTTGCGTCGAGAATTTTCGAATGTGTCACGAAATTGGTCGACAAAGTCTTGCCCATACCCCGATTTGTGATAGGCTGTATTTGCAGGGTATACATCGTGGATGGTACCAAGTTCTCATAATGGACCTGAAAATACGGTATATAAATGTTTGCTTGACGAATGGAATGGATATTTTACCTCTCTCGTTTGTGGAGGTAGAATTGTGATATTCGTGTCATCACGGACTGGCGACGATAAAGCAGCTCGGTAACCGATTACGGTATCTGCATTTGTTCCTCGATCTCGTACCCAATGGCAGGATACGGTAGCATGAACTATGCAGAAGAGAGGAGTAGCTAACGACAGACAGGGTAAAGCTCCTTGAGCGGGTGTGACATCGCATGACTTGGTTGAGAAGGATGTGCTGATCACCGTCTAAATAATAGACTTCACTTTGGCCTGTGCGGTGGTTAGTGATCGATCACAATCAAGATCTCGAAGAATTAATGGATGCTTTTTTGCTTTTTTGACTTACCTTCTTAATCTCTTCTTCCGAGATTTCCAGCGTATAATCGCAATCAAACGTCAAGCCCCCTATGGCCGCAGAGCACTCACCGACTCGTAATTCTTGTACTCTGCAATCACTCAGTTCAGTGGTAGCTTATCAATCAATTACTGATCCAAAGCAACTTACGGTGTATCCACATGTTGATTCAACTGATATTCACGACAAGTACCGCGCTTTACCGTCACCACGAATGTTTTCTTTTCCGGTGAGCAGGTCCGAGAGTTGATCCAGTTAACGGTCGTCTGAATGGAATTGAAATAGTGGTTCGGAAAGAATGAAATTGATCATGTGCTGTGTTAAGAAAACTCAAGGTGACATTTTCCTAGCACATATATAACGTATGTAATCACAGGATTAGAAAGCTTGATAACGAAAACTAACTCGAAGCTCTCCATCAAAGTACGGCGTTTGTATGTCCACATTGTCGTCCGTGGTCTCATCTTCGTCCTCGTCAGTAGTTGTCGGCACTGCTAAATCAAAGCCGGTTTGATCTAAAATAAGCATGTTTAAATTCGCTTTTTATAAATTGAGGGATGTTATGACACAAACCGATAGGCGGGTCCTGAACGATTTCTGATGTAGTGGCATTCAACGTCCTAACAAAAATAATGCCTTTCTCCCCGTGAAGTTCACCTTCGCTGGAGTCGACGGAAGCGTGGATCTAAAGATATTAGGCTTTGACACTGAATTAGGTGCAGTAATTTTGTGGTAGTAGATGCTTTATTGACGTCATTACAGATGCGTGATCGTGCAGCACGTTACTAAAAATCCATAGAATTAACCTCAACGATATAGACAGAGTTCGGAAACAGTCCAGACAGCTCCGACTGAGTAGTATGGCTTGGCACAATTACGGAATGTCTATCCCTGCAAACATTTTTTGCTTTAACAAATCCTACAAACACTAGCAAAGCAGAAGGAAACGGAAACGTACCTTCCGTCAATGCCCCACGCTTCTTCTTCCTCGTCAAGACTTCGCTTTTCGTGTGTTGTAAGCGTGGCACGACGTCGCATCATCTCCTCAAATGCATTGGCTTCGGAAGGTGACGACACAGCCCAGGACAGCTGTAAAAATAACTTGCATGCTTTAAGACTGAGATCTATCTCATGCTAGATAGCTACCTGATAACTCTTGATGGGTAAATCGCTTGTGGGTGGAGTCCACTGCACTATTTGATTCCATAAACCTATAGGAGTGAGACGGGAGGCCCCCAGGGAGATGTCACGAGGTGATGAAGGTGCGCGGGCTTCTAAAACATTGCTACTACAAAATTAAAATTTGAGCATACTCAAACACAAGAAAGTAGAAGCCAGGAAGTGAATACAGTAGATAATTCCTTGTGTTCGTATACGCTGAACGTGAAGAAGCTGAAGTTGAGTCGTGCTTACCTTTAGAGAGTTTGAAAGGCTGTGAGGGCTGGCTAAATCCAAGGCTGCCATGGATGCTTACAGCTCCCACGCGGAACTCATAGTACCGCCCAGGTGAGAGCAGATGTTTCAGTATTGCATATGGCTTGTTTCTCTGCAAAAGATTTCTTAGTACCCTGCTGAATCCTATACCAACTTTAATTCTATACTTACCACAGTGACCGTTTGCCATTCGGTCATACTTTCGCCTTCAGGGTGTAGACCCCACCGCCACTGCACCACATACAGATTTGAATTGGCAGCATTTTGCTCCCGAGTGAGCTTCTGCATTACCCAGCGTATAATAATTGAGCTGAAGTCGTACAGATGATTTCGTCTAAGAATTAAAGAATAAGCGACACTTACCGCTTCCTCTTCCGTTCCTGGACAGAGATGGAGCCCGGTATCGGCAACAACCGCGGATCTCTTCCTTTCGGCAAGACACACTGCCTGCTGCAACCATAAGAGCAGCACTTTTCGGTTTCAGGACAATCTCCATCCAGGTGACAGAGCGCAGTACATTCCTGTAAAATAAGGCTTAAGTAAGACACATGCTTCAAAAATGTCTGTAGACTTACATAATTGGATTGGTTTTTTATTTTCGGACAAGCTCCCGGTTTTTCAGTGTAGATATGCTGGAGGTAGTCGCAAGATTTTTCACAGGCACTTCCATCTGTTGTGTCCTATAATTTTTTTGATTCAATACTGGAATTAAGGTAATTTCAATAAGCATGGTCACAGTCTGTAATAGTAATGTCAGCATTGTTTTTGAGACAAAACAGCGAAGCAAAAACTAATCCAGCGGACGCCGAATGGGTAAGGAGGCTTACCTTGCAAGCGCTATTCTTGCATGAGTTGGCATCGGAGAAAGTTTCTCGACATGGTTCCGTGCACTGAAAACATCTGTTTTAGGACTTGGAATTTCCGTCTAGAAATATACAGCAAATGGGAAGAAGAGGACGATTTTTTCTGCATTTTTCGTACGCTTCTCTCACCTTCCCTCCCTCCCTCTCCCCCTCCCCCCTATGAATTTGTTTATGCTCCTCCTCAAGTCATTCTCTTTTGCTTCTAGCCCATTGGTCGTAGTGATTTTCATTAGGTGGCGTTTAGCTATGGTAATTGTTAATTGTGGGTGAGAAGGCTTCGAGCGTAAGCATTATGCGTTCATTGACGGCCGCGCGGACCTGAACCACTTTAGCAGCGTCAGCGAAAACAAGTCAAGTGTGGATCAGAAGTGGTAGTATGGTGATACCGAGAATATTGAAAATTATCTGGGAAGTCACTGCTGAAGAGAGATGAGAAAGTTCTTAGTGGACAGTGGAGTGTAACAAGACTTGGGCCAGGGCACTAAGTTTAGAACAAGTACATTTAGAATTTTGTGAACAAAGCTGGTTTTCCAAAGTTAGTATAAGTCCTAACCTTGCTTTTTTTGATGTTGACCTTACCACAACCCAGACCCGTTCCGAATCAAGCCCTATGGCTGCACGACTGGATTAAACATGCTTAGTGGCTGTCTTGATGGCTTTAGTGTCGCAAAGCGGTCAAGTGGCTTTTAGCCTCCACTAAAAATTGATCCTCAGCCATCATCATCTGCTATCAGCGCACAGATGGATAGGCGCTGTTCGTCGTGGGAAAAGCGGATAGCTTTACCCGAGACATTCCCGATATGGCATCACGTTACAGTATGCCAAACTGTAACCGAGGTATTGGTAGTGGATGCACTTTAAGGGCAACATACACCCAAAATCTAAGTTACCCAGTTTTCTAAACTGCGTATATCTAGGGCCCAAAAGAAGAACAAGTGGGTTGCTCCGGTCTCTCAATGTTGCTTCTAAGCGGACAAAACCTGCCTGATTCTCTTTTCGCTCGCCCCTTTCTTTTCGGTCCGCCTCTTTCGGACAAATCCACAACAGCGCAAGTTGCAGTTGCAGTCGCAGTTGTAGGTGCAACTGCTGTTGTGACTGCAACAGCAGATGCAACAGAGCAGTTGCTTTTTGCGGCCCGCCTCCTTCGACGACTAATCCACGACGCATACGCTGCAGTTGCAACTGCAGCCTGTCATGCAGTTGCAGCTGCTCCTTGCTTGCATGCCGACGGCGTCGAGCAATTCGAAACTCGTCCTCCCTCTGAAGAGAGGTTCCTCGGAAACCGGGGTTTTTGGGGGTTCTGGTGAATTTTAATACCATAATTATAATCAGGGGCACGGGAAGCCCAGAATGACAAAAACATCGAAGGCATTTTGGGTGCACGCTGCCTTCAATTCTTCAATAAAACGTGCGACGAACACTAAGATCGCTTGCCGCATTTTTGTGTGAAAGTCTCAAAGATTACATCTTGATCCACAACAGTGTAGGTACCGCAAAGTCAAAAATCAGCGTTCATGAAACATCATCACTGGCCGGATGAAAGAAATTGGAGGCGGAGTGTGCGAACTTCTTGAAAGCAACTCAGAAAGTTATCAATCCTGCAGACATCTCGCTTTTTTGTCAAAACGCTCGTTTTGCCTCCTGCTCTTCTCCCTCTATCGCTCTTCTCTCCTAATGCGCCACATGGCACGGAAACCCATAAATGCTTGATATCGTTAATATATGCCTTTGTCATTTGACAATGTCCGCTTTTCATGGCTGCGACAATTTATACCGTGACTGCTTAACAGCTTGCGTGCTTATGCAACATCACGAGATCGTAATGATTTATTTTGGGACAAAGGCAGTATAAAACCGACTATACTCGATTAGGGTTCCTACAAGGACCGAACCCCAAAAAGAAGCAGCGAAGAGAGGTCTACTAAAAAGGCAGCCCTCTCAAGAAGATGTCCCCCTCAACGATGGACCTCCAGTACGGTTGCTCCTGACAGCCAAAGCAAACGCTTGTGAAATATGTCTCAAGCCAGTTTTTCTTCTCTTTGTGCAAAGTGATATACGCGCAGTTCACATCTGGTTGCTACGGCGGCAGCTCAAACGCGCTTGATGTCTGCGTAGTGCTTACCACCGCCAGTAAAATCGTTTACTACCACATGTAAACAGTTCACTAATCGCCGTCCGACAAGTGCAACAGTGAAGATTGTGATTCATATGGGAGTCCGTGCCACCGCAGATGTTAACGGGTACTGGTGAGCGTCATATGTGTTTGATCGTAGGAAGAAGCGTATAACGCCTGAGTCTTATTGTCTGAGTTAGAAAGCAGACGAATCTTTAGTCCAAATTTTGGTAACCTCAATTACCGTCCGTGTTAGGGTTAACACTCATGCATTACATTTGCTGCCGCAGGAGGAACTCGCTTCGAAGTAAGACCCTGAAGTTTGATCTCAGTTCTCTAACTGCATTTTCAATTCGTTCCCGTAATACTGACATATTACTCAGTAATACAAGTACTACGTTGAAAAGTTTCAGGTAGAATTTACACAGCAGTTTCCCATATTGGGCTTACAGTGAACCTACAATGAATCGAATATTCTCAAAAAGTTTACAAAGGGTTGCACATGACAGTTCCTATATGCACACCTCTTTTGCTAGAATTTGGTTCATTTTTCTCTTGATTTCCCACTACTTTACCCTCCCCCCCCCCCCGCGTCGTTCCTCCTGCCGCCGCCTATAGAAAACTCTGCCTTGTTTTGACATTTCTCCCCAAGCATAATTTTTTTCAAGCCTAGATTGTCTCGCCATGATAGATTCACCATTGTTCTCGCCAATCTGCCGTCCGCAGACGAGATCTAAAAATGCGACCCAGTGATAAATGCGGCCGCGCCATATGGTTGTTGAGCACCGCGCGCGTAGATAAAGTGCCGCTTTCCCAAAGTTCATCAAAATATAGGTAGAAAAAGCATTGCAGCCATAGCGGTAGACAGATAGATGTTGATAACCGCGCATGTACGACCTGGGACTTCAACAAAAGCTAGAACAAATTTTAGGGAAGTTCTGCTTTCTTGTGTGCTCTTGAAACAAAAATCGCAAAAATCGCATTTGCACCCCCTCATGTCGTGACCCCTAAATAAAGGTAATTCGCTCCTTTCTGCTCCATCCTTTGTGTGGATTTCTATGGTTCACAGATTCTGATTCCCCGTGCGCATTCCTTATAACGTAGGAATGCGCAGCGAAGCGGAGCGACCGCAGTAACGACTCTTAATGACTACCCCATAATTAGACGATAGAGTGACGGAGTAGTGGCGGGCTTAAGATCCGAAACGAACAGAGATTTGTTGGGTTTGGTGGACTTGGTAGACTCCTCCGTACAAACAACCAAGCAACTATTGCTACTGTCCTGACTATGTAGACAAGATGCCTAATCCCCATAGTTGCTGTACAGATATACATTTTATTGCGGTTCACACTCGCTCGAGGGAGATGTCTCGGCAAACAGGTTAATCTGAGATCGCGCACCATATTTGCGCGCTTCTATGGGAGTATGGCATCGTATAAGGACATATGGGTAAAGTGAGAGACATCTGAAGCTGTGACAGGCAGACAGGAACACTGACAAAAAATTCAGAAGGGAAACTCACAGCAGAACACGTAGCGTCATCTTTGCAGATCTGGATGATGTGGTGCTTCAGATTTCGCCGTTGCTCCTGGTCACTCTGAAAAAGAAATTTGAGCAATGTTGTCTGCGAAACAGCAATTAAATTTCTGGCAGAATGCAGTGAGGGGACATTATCATAATATGATGGAAATATCTTGGAGGAACTGAGCTACACTGTTCTAAAATGGCTGGGGAATGTGGATGGTATGCAGTGCGAGACACCGCATGTTGATTAATAGAGATCTAGGGTCAAGTCTTCAAAACACTTCCTAGTGGCTTCAAACTATTGTAAAATGAACTTTTGATTTTAGGCATTATCTTAATTCCCCCCCCCCCCCCCACCCCTCCGGACGAGTTTCAAAATTCTAATGCTGACCTTAGAGTGCGTCACGCAGCTCTACATCGCTATGTAATCCTATATAGAGCACTTCCGTTGCGCAACGGTCACTGCTACAGTGTTACACAATCTTAATAGGCTACTAGCATGTATGCGAATAATTACGATTTGCGTCGTGTAAGTGCTTGAAAGTGTGAGAAACTGCACACATGGTACTGTAAAGTGGTTGCGAGTGGACCATGACAAACACTTCATTTCAAAATAGTTAATGAATTCACAATTTTTCCAGTTCGTTTGTTATCAACAATCCCCACTTTATAATTCAAAACCTTGTCTCCCTTCCGAATAATTTTTGTTCCTGTATGAGTCGCGCAATGTTGTTGGCGATGGTTCGCACTCACACCATTTGGCGACAGATCCACCGTAGTCATTCAGGCGTAAACACACACACCTTTAGTGACCTTCTACGATGAAGAAGGAACCAAATCATCGGAAAGTAACAATATAGTGAACCTCAGCAAAACCAAGTCTTGGAGCCGCTGGAACACGGTAGACGCTATTTTGCACAATCATAATAGAAAATTGGGAATACCTGCTGCCAGCTATTTTAACCCCTTTGCACACTCGCTAATTTTGTGGATCACCGGACAGGACAGTAAAGCCGAAACAATAACCCGCAATTGCTGTAGTGCGCCACTGAATGCACTGTTTCAAGATAAGAGAGACCCCGACATTTGCGGTTATTGTGAAACTATAATTACTGTATAAACAGTACGGTAGCGCATGCTGTTTTGAGTGCTATAGAAGTTTTCTGGGGCGGCAAAATATAATTATCCCTGTAGCGACTTTGTAACAACCGAAAAAGCAAATGACTGTAGCGAGTTAATGTAACTGTTTTTTTTTTATCAGAAAATGGTACAGGACGGGTTCAGTTGCAATTTGTAACGCACTTACAAAACTTCAAAGCCTGTATACTGTGAAAGTAACTCCTAGCAATCAACTTCCAAAAATCTCAACCACAAAGGATCCATCTTGGCCAGCCCGACACCACCCCTTCTGAAGGAAAAACAGCTATCATCAATCAATTCAGCGGTGATCGGGTGTAGCGTCAAGCAGACGTGGGGACGTCGGTCAGCTTTGTTTGACGTTGATTTCTAAGCGTATTCGATCATCAAACGCGACGCTTCATTACCGCTCCGTGTACGACGCTTTGATTTATGAATTCATTAGACATGCAATTATAGTGCTGAGTCATGGACGATACGCTGGATTCCTCACTTTAAATCCTATGAACCTGACGTAGAAAATCTTGACTTCCACTATTCTGCTCCCCTCTCCTCCCCTCATCAGAAGAGAGCAAAGGGCGGTAACTGCATATTTTGCTATAATCGATGCTAATTTGGGTTATGCGTCGGCATACGTAACATAAGAACAAAGAAAGGAGAACACCTGCCATGATGATCGTTTGTTTCCCAACTGTATTGAGCGAGTTCATATTTCACTCGTTAAGTCATTCAAAACCTTATGGTCGTTCCCAATACTTTGTATGAATATATTGGTTACTGGCGCAGCCTTGGCCTTCTGAGCGGAGATTTGAAATTAGTAATTCTTAAGGACCATCGCGAACAAAGTGCCCACATCGTGCAATCTCCATATGTCCATTAAACTCTTCAGAACTCAAAACTACAAATTATAACTATAAGTACTTATGCAGACAACATACACAATGGAAGAGGGCCTTATTGAAGACCCGCAGGTCATTAATTGGTCTGCGGCATCGCGTTCATTCATCGCTAGAGCATCTACCATCTATAGCTACCGCCCGAGGCTGCTAATACTAGTGCTCACTTGAAAAATGGTCCTGTGAATGGCACGGCGCTATGGCAGTGAAATCAGACCTTACTGACGTCCGATGTGGAAATTTATGTCCAAATTGCCGCCCCTAGTGACTCCGAGAAGTGTTATCGTGAATTTTTTTTGGAAAAAAATGAGAATGATTCAGAATCAGTGATGCTAGATTGACTAGCATAAAAGTCAAAAGCTTCAGACAACCATTGCTTTCCGCAACAAGAGCTCTTCATCACATTCACTGCCAAGTAGGCACTTGTACCTACTTGGACATCCCTGGTCAAGAAGGATACAATTTTCAAGTTACAGTAACACACTTCAGTCAGGTGTGCAAATATGGTATGGTATCGTCTCATCATTAGATAAGTGCGAGAGAGCACCTGCGAATGTCGCAAAAGCGATGCCGTGAAGGAATGGCCGAGGATCGTAGGTTAAGCGGATTAGCATTAGTGAAAATACGTAAGAAACGCTTAAACAATTCTTTCATGCATCCGTTATGGAGATGAGCGCTTACATATGGGAACTATACGCACAGGCTATTGTAGTTAAGAAGGTGATAAATACGCGCATCGGCACAGATGTTATATGGTTTTATCACTACATTTTTATTATCAACAACAATGGTATATCTATTCCTTCCTTGAATCATCTGAAAAACGTAAGAAACTGGGGGTACCATCCTACTAGCGTAAGGACCCGTAAGCACATCCCTATTTTCAATTAAAATCAGATAGTACTGCTAAGATGGTCAAAGCAAATTGAGGTTGCACTTCTCAAAAAATCCCACTTCGCACTCCTGTTCTTGCTAGCATATTGATGGGTTTGATGATGATACAGCTTTGGCGTGCAATGTGGCTACAAGGGATGGAGATGATGGTGTTTCTGTGTTGCGCACAGTTGCTGCAAGAAATGCTGTGGGTGGTTTTGCTGCAGCATTGAGAGGATGGTGTTTCGGCAAGAAATGGTGTTGGTGGTGTTGCTGCAACGGATGGGGAAGGTGTTGCTGCAACGGATTGAGAGAATTATGTCGCTGCAAGAAATGGTATGGATGGTGTGGATGGTGTGGATGGTGTTGCTGGAATGATGGAAGGAATGATGTTGCTGCAACGGATTGAGGATGGTATTGCTGTAACGGATTGAGAGTTATATCTCTGCAAGAAATGGTATGGATGGTGTGGATGGTGTGGATGGTGTGGATGGTGTTGCTGGAAGGGATGGAAGGAATGATGTTACTGCAACGGATTGAGAGGATGGTATTGCTGTAATGGATTGACAGGATTGTGTTGCTGCAAGAATTGGTGCGGATGGTTTTGCTGCAAGAAATGGTATGGATGGTGTGGATGGTGTGGATGGTGTTGCTGGGATGAAAGGGATGAGGGTGTAGGGCGTTAGGCGACAAACCCAATTTTTTGGACCCCCAAAGAACACCCCGTGCAAAACGTCTTCTCCGTCAAAAAAAGGGGGGTGGGGGTTGGGGCCGATACATTACCCGACGCCAATGAAAAATGGTGCATAGTTTTGAGTTACGGGGTTTCCGTTGCTTGCGTTTTGCACGTTTTGTCGCCTAACGCTTGCCCTCCAAGGGATGATGTTACTGCAACGGAAGAGGATGGTGTTGCTGCAAGGGTGAGTGGGATGTGGTGCAAGTATCGTCCAGCTATATTTGACCGTTCTAATGAACAATGAAGATTTCAATAAGTTAGCCTATTATTATATCTGTGATGTACTGTCTGTCAGACTCGTTGCGCACTTCATAAGGCTTTTTCAAATCATCTTAGGATTATATTTTGTGCGTATCTACCACCCATGACCCATATCGACCATCCAGTGCTGCATTTCCGGAGCGGCTTTTGTGTCTGACTATGGTTGAGTGTGACGACAACGAACCGCGTTTGTGAGCGAGCGTGTGTGCACCTCATGAGGAGGTCGTGGTTCTATTCAGAGACTCGACGAGGACAATAGCCCCCACTAGGCAATATTCATGACGTGAAGAGCCGCTCACGCTCGCACTGTGCATCTGAACAACAAACACTGGCTAGTGCAAGAGATGCTCCTTTGCAGAACGGGCACCCTTGCTGAGAGATGCCAAAATGGAGGAATTTGGAAAAAATGGCGCTGTGTCACATTAATCCCATAAATTACCACAAATAGTGGCGCCAGTCTGGTTTGCATGGGGTAACAGTAACATGTGGTGGATGTTACGCATAATTATTATGTGCACGGTTAGCTGCAAATCACAAGGCCGTAAAATTCTACAAAAAAAGTTTTTTCAGCTACTATTCGGCTATATCCCGGGTTGTGAACCCCAGTGGCCTCGAACCTTCGATTACTGAATCACTCACTGTCTTCGCCGATCGTAACTTACAACAAAAATAAAAAATATAAAAGACAATTTGGCATCAAGCCAGATTTTTTTATGCTCATTAGGCTTCATAAAGCGCTGGTGTGCTGTATAGACGAAGCTTGCGAAAAAAAGACAAGAAAAACTGTTTGATAGGATTAGCAGCTGTGAATAGTAGCTTCTCGGAACATCAAAGCTTTGCATAAACATAATGTAGAATTCAATCGTAGAATCGATCATCAATTCAATTGATGAAATGATAGTATCAAGAAGATGCACTACCCTTTGTAACGAAACTGTGATATAATCCAACGTGCCCCTCTCCCTTTGAATTCCTTTCACCATTTCTAGTAATTTGTTAATTAACCCATCATTATGCATGGGATAGTCCTTGAGTTGCCTCTGAGTTGCAGACACGCTCGTCAACTTCAACTCCATTAGCACCAAATAAGATGTCTCGGATTGCAACGCATTGCAACGCACTGCGACGCAAGTGCGCTATCGCTTGCTTGATCGCATCGCGATGACAAGATTTACAATGCGAAAATGTCATTTCGACCACCAACGTTGACGTTTCTATCGTCTCTAGAAAAACGCTATGTCACATTGCCATGATAGGCATGAGTGATTAACGACGTCAACCCGGGGCAAGGCAGAAGAAAACTGGTCCTCGACGAGTGGAACTTGTCCACGAGTTCTACGCCGATCAGCGCTTATGGTCTTCGTTGAGATGCACGCTCTTAACGCCTAATTTACGAGCTCGCAGTGTGCATCGGATTCATTTCACCGCACTCTTCCGATTTTCAAGCATTCTTGTTAAAACAATGTCTGGTTTGGTGACGTTTGATTAGAGCGTGATTTTTTTTCCAAAGAATCGCTATTTGAAATGCCCTTTTTTCTATCCATTTTTTGAAGGCCACAACTCTGTCAAGTCGTGACGTTCGCGGATGCACGAATGCACTCGAACAGAGCGCGATATCCTCCATTCCAACTCTTTGTATCCACTTTCGATTCAATTTTTTCCACTTAGCCGACGATTTTTTCTCCGAGCTAGATTTCACCGCTAGCGGTTTTCCATTGTGGCCAGCAAAAAGCCGCTGTCTCCTCCAGGGCATATCGTTGTGTTTTATTGCGCTATGAAGCGACGAAATTGCGAACTGAAGAAGGATAGAAGACAGCTGGACTAGAACAAGAGACTGAGCTTGCGACCGGCGCAGAGAGGACCACAACTAGCTGGTGGTGTGAAGCTCGGAAGTCAAATATTGCAGAGCTTGCAGGCGTTTGATAGCGTAATTAATCCCATGATACGGTAAACATACGTAAACCCTAAGCACGCATATGCCTCGTTTCCGGTATGGGAAAACGAAGGCCCAAGCTTGGATTT